GCAATTAAAGTTGTATCCCTAGTGCCCATAAATATGACCTTATTGATTTAGAAATGGGCTCTTTTCTGGGTGTGGTGGCAACACACCTTTAGTCCCAGCTCTCTGGGGGCAAAGGCAGATGGATCTCAGTGAGTTTGAGGCCAGCCTGGTCTACATGACAGGCTCCAGGCCAGACAGGCTACATAGTGAAACCCCATAAAAATAAATAAATGGGGGATTGCTATATAGTGAGATCCCATAAAAATAAATAAGTAAACTGGGGGATGTTGTGGATATACTTAAGTAGATATCTTTATGAGGTTTGGAGGACTTCTAGGCCTGTGACACCTTGACCTTTGACCTCTGTGAAGAAGTATGATCTTACTGTATTAAAGGCCAGTTGTCAGCAGGGCAGTGGTGACCTTTAATACCAGCACTCAGGAGGCAGAGTAAGGCAGATCTCTGTGAATTCAAAGTCAGCCTGCTCTACAGAGTGAGTTCCAGGACAGCCAGAGCTGTCACACAGAGAAACTCTGTCTCAGAAAAAGAAAAGAAAAGGAAAGAAAAAAGACCTCATTCCTTCAGCCTCAAGTGGTGGGGAACTGGTAAGAAACTCCACAGGCATCACGGCGAAGCGAGGGCCAGCGCTGCATCAGAAAACACATGAAAGGGGGGGTCTAGCTCCAAGCAGAGCAGTCACCTAGCATGCAGGAGCCACGCCAGTCATGGCAGTGCCCGGGAGTAAAGACCGGAAGGCTGCGAGTTCAAGACCATCCTCGGCTACAAAGTGATGTGAAGCCAGACACAGATCACATCAGAGACAGACTGAGTGACTCCGGCAGGGCACATCCCTCTGCCCCAGTCTCTAGGACAGCCTCCTGGAGCAGCGGGGAGACAGGGGCTGGCAGCTGAGGTGGAGTGGCCGCCGTCTCAGGAGAGGGCTTTCTCACGAGGCAGAAGCACATTGTGGAAACGACACTCAGCCTGGTTGTGTGTGGGTACGTGGCTGTGGTGTGCCGGCTGGAGCTACGCCTCCCGGCTGGCTGAGGACCAGGGAAAGACTGTGACAAAGCAGGACTAACAACAAAAGCCAGCCTGGGAGGGTAAGCATTGTATGACTCCCTCGTGTGAGGGGACATTGCAGGGGGGAGGCTCTCTCAACTCAGAGTTCAAAGGGTAGACAACCTAGATCATTGCCCCCTTCAGACACTGTGGGAGGGACAGGGTGGGGTGGGTCCACTCTGCGGGGCTCCTGGGGTGACTTTCATCGGGGAGGGGGAGGGACCCACACAAGACACAGGACACCACAACTGGTCTTCAATAGAGGAAGAATGCACTTCCTCACAGTTCTAAAGGACGGAGGGCAGAGGTCAAGGAGTCAGCAGGCCTAGGATCCCTCAAAGCCTCATAAATCTTATGAGCTGTGTCCCAGAAGAGGGTGACTTCACTCTCTCCCACACCCCATTGGTGAGAGCTGAGTCATGTGCGGCTCTCCCCGCAGGGAAGGCTGGGAAATGTAGTCCATCTGTTTGCAAGACTGCCAGAGACAGATCTAACGATGGGCAGCTCCACCTGCCATAACAGGCCGGCTGGCAGGAATTTCTCTTTGGGCAGAGGATTCACAAGCATCAAGGACTTTTCATAGTTACATTTCTTTGAATTTTCCAAATGTTTTAAAATAACCACCAGTCCTTTACACGGAGAAAAAAGAAGCAGGATTTTAAAAATTAACAAAATAGCCTTCAAGTGTGTGTGTGTGTGTGTGTGTGTGTGTGTGTGTGTGTGTGTGTGTATGCGCTCATACGTGACCACATGTATGCATGTGTCACAAAGGCCAGAGGTTGAAGCTGAGTGTCTTTGTTTCTTGTCTCTCGTCCTATTTTTTGAGACAAGGTCTCTCACTGAGCCTAGGTCTCACAGATGGCTGGCCAGTGACCCTCTAGGCCCCGTCTGTTTCTGTCCACAAACGGTGGGGTTGCGGGCCTGTACCGTCACACCCTGCTTTTTATGTGGCTGCTGCGAATCCAAATTCCGGTCCTCACACTTGCACAGCAGGGACTTTACCAGCAGGGCCATCTCCCTGGAGTCTAGACAGGGTTCTTAATAGCCTTGCTCTGGGGTCAGACCTGCAGGTCCCATGATGGACAGCAGAAGCTCCTTCCACATCAGTGTGTCCTGGTGACTTCCACAAATGCCGTCGATCACTGAGTTTATAAACAGCCAGAGCAAGACTGGGACTGCAGCTCAGTGGCAAAGTGCTCGCTAGCATGTGGGAGGTTCCAAGTTCAGTTCCTAGCACCAACACAAATGGGGAAAGAAAAAGCACTGAGACTCGCCTCTCGTAGCTGTCCAGACTCCGTGCAGGAGTGGTGAGTTCCACGCCTAGACGGTGTCTTCTCGCTGCGTTCTTGTGGTGATGGAGGGACATGTAAGCTCCAGGCCTCTTTTGGAAGGCCTTTAGGTAAGGCTGGGGTGGAGCTCAGGGCAGAGTACTTGTCTAGCATGGGCAAGGCCCTGGGTACCACCCCCAGCATCGTCAATAAGGACGATAAGGCCATTTGCGGGGCCCCGCCCTCTTCCTTCATCATCTTCCACAGGCTCTGCTTATCAGCAGCATCCTTTAGGGCAGTGGTTCTCAACCTTCCTGATGCCGTGGCCCTTCAATGCAGTTCCTCATGTTGTGGTGACCCCCAACCATGACTGTTTTCATTGCTACTTCATAACTGTAACTTTGCTTCTGTTATAGTCCTGATGTAAATATTGATGCTTTCCGATGGTCTTAGGCCCTGTGAAAGGGCCATTTAACTCCCAAAGGGGTCTCAACACATGTGTTGAGAGTCATTGCTCTAGAGGGAGTAGTTCAGCACTGGGGTGGGGCACACAAGCTTTCAGATTATTGTCATTGTCATTTCATCATCAAGATGAAAACCAGGACCAAGGATGCCGTTGGCAGAGTGTTTGACCAGAGCATGTGAAGCCCTACGTGTAGGAGGCAGGAGGATCAGCAATTCCAGGCCATCTTCAGCTACATAGCAAGTCTGAGGCCAGCCCAGGCCTTATGGGACTGTCTCAAAAATAAATTCAACAAATAAGCAAATAAAATGAAAAATAACAATAAAGCATGGCAAGATGACTCAGTGAATAAAAGCACAGACACAGACACCTCATGACCTGAGTTTGATTCCTCTGTTCCACAGCAGAGGGAGAGAATCAACTTCCCCAAGTCATCTTCTGGCCTCCACACGAATACTGCCCACACACATGCATGTACACACACACACACACAGAGAGAGAGAGACAGACAGACAGACAGACAGAGACAGAGAGACAGAATAAACAAAATAAAAATAAAAGACATCACAGAACCTCCAGAGAACTGAAGAAGAGTAGGTGCTCTCCTGGCCCCGGCTCAGAGCGAGCCTGCTGCCTTGGCCACCCCACTCTTCCTGCCCTGGTCAGCTCCGTCCTGTGCTCTCCCTGGGTGGCCCTTCTGTGCCTCCTCCCAGATCCTCAGACCGGGCCCCACTCCCTCTCCTGAGGTTCCTGCTTCCTGGTTCAGGAGACAAGACAATAAGGAGAACTGCCTCCCATCCCGTTGCTCATGGACCCTTCCTGCCTCTCAGATAGCATCGAGTCACTTCCTCAGAGGTCCAGCTTCCTCCCATCAGCCCAGGTCAGCTTTCTCCTCCAACTGAGCATCATCACGGATGAGAGTGTGTCACAGCTGCCCCCAGTGCCACCATCTTCCAAGCTCTCCTCTCTGTCTCTCTCTGTCTCTGTCTCTCTCTCTCTCTGTCTCTCTGTCTCTCTCTCTCTGTGTCTCTCTCTGTCTCTCTGTCTCTCTCTGTCTCTCTCTGTCTCTCTCTGTCTCTGTCTCTCTCTGTCTCTCTCTCTCTCTGTCTCTCTCTGTCTCTCTGTCTGTCTCTCTCTGTCTCTCTCTGTCTGTCTCTCTCTCTGTCTCTCTCTGTCTCTCTCTTTCTCTCTCTCTGTCTGTCTCTCTCTCTGTCTCTCTCTGTATCTCTGTATCTCTTTCTCTGTCTCTCTCTCTGTATCTCTTTCTCTGTCTCTCTGTATCTCTTTCTCTGTCTCTCTGTATCTCTTTCTCTGTCTCTCTGTCTCTCTGTCTCTGCTCCCTGCATCTCGTTGCACAGCAGTGTTGAGTGTTGGCCACCTGCTGCCTCCGCAGCTTTTCCTCTGACTGTCCAGACACACCACTCCACACAGGCTTCCCCCCTGCCCTCGCCCATGTCACTCATGCCAAGGTCAACAGTGACCCATCAGTTGGGGCCCCAAAATCAGACTCCATCCTCCATGGCCCAGCACCTTGGCAAAGGCCAACACTCCTTTCTCACATCCATAAATGCTCGCCCACTTCACCAACCTCACCCCCTCTTCCACAACCCCCTTCCTCAGCTGCTCCCAGCATCTGTGACCTTACTGCTGGAGTCACCATGGCTTATCCTCAGGCCTTGCTCTGCACTGAATTGTGTCCGTAAAAGAAATAGACTCAGCCTCTATAAAGGACCTTTCATCCCACGCGACATCGTGAATGGACCCTAAGGACATTATGCAAGTAAAATAAGCTAGAGGCACTGAAGGACAGATGTCATGCATGCTTCACAGGGCCAACAGATTCAGACAAAAGCAGACTGGGGGCTTCCAAGAAGTTGGGGAGAATGGGGAGGCCATGTTTAGCAGGTCTTGGGAAAATGACGGCCATGGCTGCTCGCTGCCTCTGACCTACAAGATGAAGAGCTGCTACTCCAGGGAATTCTATTCATTCCTTGGTGTCTTCGTTTATTTTCCTGTTGTTGTGATGAAACACTCTGACATGCCTAAGCATGGTGGCGCACGCCTTCAATCCCAGCATTCAGGAGAGGCAGAGGCAGTGGATCTTTGAATTCCAGGCCAGCCTGGGCTACGCAGTGAGGTCTTGTCTCAAGCAAGCAAACAAAAAATAACTGCCACAGAAGCAACTCAAAGGATCAAGGGTTTATTTTGGCTCACAATTTGGTGTACAGTCCATCATGGCGGGCGGGGGGGGGGGGGGGCAGGGCAGCAGGGGCTCGAAGCAGCTGGTCACATGGAATCTGTAATCAGGAAACACCAGAGATAAACGTATGCGAGTGCTCTCTCCGTTTTATACAGTCGGGATCTCCTGACCTAGAGAGCAGTCCCACCCGCAATCAAGATGGGGCTCAGTTAACATGATCAAGACCATCCCCAGGGGCCAGGCCACAGGCCCGTCTCCCTGGTGAGTCTAGGCTGTCAAGGAGACAGTGCCAACTGTCACAGATGACCTAAGCCCTGGCTGTCAGGGCCTGTCTCACCCCCCCGGGCACCACTGGCTAAGCACTCATGCTGTCCCCATCACTGCCAAGTGAGATTTGACCCTCTGTGCCCAGCAGTAGCCACGTATAAGCAGATTGTTTCTTGCAGGTCCTCCCTCCCTACAGCCATAGCTAGTGGAAGGCCCATCGGGTATAGAAATATCATTATTTATGGGTCACAGTGGCAACACCATCGCCCAGTTTCTGCTTGTGAGGTATCCGAGTGTCTCACACAGCCTCCCGAGAGCTCTTCCTCCAGAACCCAGAGCTTTCATTTCTTCCTTGCTTCCAGTGGCAGCCAAACCTCACCCTAGGATCCCGGGTTCCTGGGAAGTCTGGGCCCAGTCCTGTGGAGACCACAGGAGACATGAGAACATAAGAAGCCTGTTTCTGAGATCCTACAATCTGCATGGCGGGGTGAGCGGCGCAAGTCCAACCACCTGCAGGGGTGAGAAGAGGCCAGAGTGGGGCCTGCCAGAGACCGAGAAAGCTCCAAAGGTTCAGACCCTGGGCGCCAAGAGCTCTACTGGCTTCGTCGTCCTCTGCTTCTTCCTCTTCCGTAGGCACTGGATGACTCTGAGATGAGGAGAAGGTGAGGGTGGACGGTAAGTCACAGACACCGCCCCTCGGCTAGAGACAAGCAGACAGTCCTCACACTGTTCCACCGCCAACTTTACAGAGAAGGGTCTGGGTGCAGCAAGGAGAGCCGGCATCCCTCAGGACACGGGGAAAGTCAGTAGCTGCACCCTTATGGACTCTCCCGGCCTCACATCCAGCCCTTTGTCCACTGAGTACTGTGGGGAGGTAAGAACGGAATGCAGGAGGCTGCAGTGATGACTCAGGGGCGAAGAGCATTTGCTGCGTTTGCAGAGGACCTGGGTTTGGTTCTCAGCACCCACCTGGCAGCTCATAACCACCTGAAACTCCAGAGAATCTAACCCCCTCCCCTGTTCTCCGAGGGCACCAGTTATCTGTGTGGCACACAGACAGAGATGCAGGCACACACTCATAAAATGGAAACAAAACCGTCTCTCGTGACGGAGAGGACATCACTACCAACCCTGGTTGCTTGAAGAGAAAAGTGGGCAATGGGAAGCAACCCATGACTCTCCAGGCTGCGAGCAGTGAGGAGGGACGGCCATCTGAGGCCCAGACTCATAACGTCTCCCCGCCACGTCTCCCTAAAGCCAGGGGGCCCCTGTTCGTCATCTCTCCCTGTGTTGTCTGTTCCGGGGATAAAATGCGATGAGGAGCATGGGAAAATAGTGAATGTTTCATGGTGATGCAGTTTCACAGTGAGTGAATAGAATCGCTTTTCCTTCTTTCTAGAGTTTCCATTTTAAAATGTAGCAATCACTAACGTATTTGGAGGGAGCTCGTGTGCACATCACCGACCCTTTGTGGAGGCAAGAGAACCATGTGAACGGTGGCTCCTCTCCTTCCTCCATGGGATGCGCGTCCCAGAGGCTGAGCTCAGGCCCCCAACTTTGGCAGCAGTCACCTTTAGCCAGCGAAGCATCTCATCGGCCCTCCAACTCTTCTTATTTTGGTAAACTACACATAACACGAAAGCTACTGTTTTAACCTCGTTGAGCCTGCGGTTCAAGGTGTTTAATCCACACTCGACTTTGAAAACTGAGCCTCCTGCCTGCACATCCTGCCTGGGCAGGCCCAGGGAGGGGTGAGGATGAAAACCTCCCGGCTGAACAATGAAGAAAAGGAAACAGGAAGGGTCAGGAAGGAAGCGGTACTGGGGAAGAGCACGCAGGAACCGGCTTCCCAGTGGCCTGCCCAGCCCCACCCAGCGCTGACCCGCCCCAGCCTCCTCCAGGAAGGGCCGCCTTGCCTTACCTCAACAGCAGCCGCGGCCAGCTCCCACCACCCCTCCCTCCAACCAGGAGCCATGAGGAACTTCCCTGGCCTTCAGTTTACTCGAAAGCTGGATGTGCCCAACCTGAAGAGCCCAGGATCCTCATCTGCAAAGGGGGATGAGTGAGAGTTGGACTCCTGAGGCCATTGTGCCAACACTTGGCACCAGGCAGCTTCCGGTGTCAGCGGCTGCCTGGTGCTGTCACCCTTGTTATTCTGACACCGCGTCCTGTCAAGGGGCAGGCTGTCACACCTACACCCTGCAGGCCTGGTGTGTCCCCTCAGCATCCCTAGGCCAAGTCCTTGAGCTTCAGTCCATGTCCACAGGTTTCCGACGGATCTGGGACCAGCTCACGGTGGGCTGAGGCCCAAAAAGCAAGACACCGGCCAGTCCGCAGGACTCTCAAGGACAAGAGGAGACAGGGAAGGCCTCTGTCCAGATCAATAAATAATAAGCACATTATTTATTGGGAAGGACGGTGAAAGAGGGCGAGGTCAGAGCCAGGGAAGGCCCCTGGCTTCCTAGGGGAGAGGAATGAAGGAGGGCCCAGGGCAGAACTGTCAGGCAAGGGCCAGGAGGTGACAAACGTCCTGGGGTGGACAGAAAACAGGAAGTGATTTCGAATTCAGGGGGCAAAGGGTACAAAGTAGAGGAGGGGAGGATCTTGGGGCGCTAAATGGGTGGGACAGATCAAGGTCTGTGTGTGCCCAATGGCACCCTGGCTCTCCTTGCAGGTGACTGGAGTGACCAGAGCTGGGGAAGAGGCTCAATCTATACGATCAAGTGCTGGCCCTGGGGTCTACGGTCAGGGGAGACACCCCACAGGCATCTTGGTAGGAAGGCATAGAGTAGGAAGAGGCTGGGGGATTGGGGGGGCTGCAGAGGGGAATGGTCAGCAGAGCGATGTCCCCGATCTAACTAACTCCTAGAGAACAGAGGGGGCTCCAGAGGCAGCTCCACCCATGAGGTGGAGATCATTCTGGATTATCTGAGCGAGCCAGTGTAATTGGAGGTCTCTAAAATGCGGAAGCAGGCAACAGAAGAGGCAGCACCAGAGTAAGGCTACTGCAGGGCCTGAAGCTGCAAGGGGCCAGTGGGTGGGCTCTCTGCTTAGAAAAAGGCAAGAAAGCTGACCCTTCCAACAAACACACACACACACAGAGAGCAAGAGAGCCTGCAGAAGGAACTCAGTGCTCTCTCTCACACAGTCTGCAGAAAGAGTCCTCTCTCTCTCTCTCTCTCTCACATACACACACACACACACACACATACACACAAAGTCTGCAGAAAGAATCCTCTCTCTCTCTCTCTCTCTCTCTCATACACACACACACATACACACAAAGTCTGCAGAAAGAATCCTCTCTCTCTCACACACACACATACACACACACAGTCTGCCAGTGCTCACACACACAGTCTGCAGAAAGAATCCTCTCTCTCTCTCTCTCTCTCTCACACACACACACACACACACACATACACACAAAGTCTGCAGAAAGAATCCTCTCTCTCTCTCTGTCTCTCTCTCTTTCTCTCTCTCCCCCTCCCTCCCTCCCCCCCCCACAGATTCTGCCAGTGCTCACACACAGAGAGCCTGCAGAAGGAGCTCAGTGCTCACACACACACACACACAAAGTGTGCAAAAGGACCACACACACAGAATCTGCAAAAGAAACACAGTGCTCACACACACACACACACACACACACACACACACGCACGCACGCACGCTTGTGTGCACACACAGCCTGCAGAAGGAACCCAGTGCTGCTGTATAACTTGAATTCAGCCAGGTTTGACCTCTGACCTGCAGAACTCTTTTATGACTCTAAATCTGGGATGATTTGTTGTGGTAGCAATAAGGAACCCATACCACAGCTGAAGAAAGGGAGTCTCTAAGTTGGGGAAAGACATGCCACTAACCATGAGGGGCTGGCAAGAGCCGGAATGGGATCGTAAGAGGACACAAGTTCATGCCCCACAGCGCTGGGGCCGGAGCCCCGGAGCGGGCGTGGGAGAGGACGCTGGCAGGCAGTAAGAGCACAGAGAATGGATGGACCATGGAGGTCTTGGTGAGAGGTTCTCCACAACTGCTTAGATCTCATTTTTCAAGTATCGAAACAACCACACCGGTAAAGCTTTCCTTGCTTAGAACTAGCCAGGCAGAAACAACAGAATTTGAACCTCAAGAGTTGAAGTCAAGATGCTCAGGGCCAGGAGATGCAAGTCGTGATACTGAGTGTTCCCAGATGCTCGCCTATGGGTTTTTACCGGAGGAGACACAGTGGGTGGAGCTGATTCTGATCCTTTTCCACCTCACTCTCCCACTAACTCTTCTTTTTTGTTTAATCCCCCCTTCAACATAAAAAGAGGGAAGTGGGGAGGTGTCCAGCAGGCGGGACGTGTGCGGCTCCCAGCCTCTGCCTGGCTTCGTTTCTTCTCCGAGCTTCGTCCCCCACCGTCTCCCCGGCCTTTGTCTGGCTCCCGCGCTGCCGCGCACATGGTCCCCTGTCAAATTCCGGGCGGCTCCGTGGGACACGTGTCAGGAAGCCAGCAGCGCTGCAGGCCCCGTGTAACCATGGAAACGGAGGCCAATGGGAGGCCCGTGCTGCCCGCGGGGGCGGAGCCTATAGCGGGGTGGGGGCGTGCCTAGGAACTAACGGGCGGGGTTTGGGTGTGGTTTGTGCCTGTGACAGTCCGCAGTGCAGAGGACGCCCACCAGGCTGAGTCCTGTACCACGTGGTTTTGATGACATCTTTTTTTGGTACTGGGAATTGCTTTGCCTATAAACTCTAAGGTTAAGATTCAAGAATTCTTCAGAACCAGGTTCCGTGCCACCAGCCATCCTGGGCCATGGGCATGCGACCAGACCCTCTGGTTCTTCATCTCGGCTGTCTGTAAACCGGCTTGGTGTGAGGTTCCGAAGATCCCCAGCCTAGCACCAGAGGCGACCCATGGCAGGTGCTCTTATGACCGAGGTCCTCTTTCCCCCAGGAAGTAGCTACTCATTCTGGGTCGGGGAACCTATCTCCTCTGGAGGGGGGAAGTCCTGGGACTCTGACTTCTGACTCCATTGCCCAAGAAGGAATCCAGAGCTGGGCTCAGTGTGCCTGTCCACGAAGTGGGAAGAGGAGGACCTGCCAGTCAATCTGTTCCTGTTTCAATGGGCTGGAGGCCTGGAGGTGAACACACAGCTACGTCTCCCAGTGCGTGGGGTGGAAGTCCCAGTGCTCAGAGCTGGGGGACAGGACAGGAGTGTAGGTATCACTGCTCAGCAGAGATCTATGGCAGCATTTTTGCCTCTGGGTCAAAAATGAAACTGGGTCTGAAACAAGGTAATACAGATTCTTTACCGCCAAGATGCCCAGTGGCAGCTGGAGCAGACAACAGACTATACACAAGAGGGAACTGGAGTCTGGAAAGCTAGACCCCCAGAGTCCAGCACAGGACAAACATCCTCTAGGCAGGGACTTCTGATAGCTGGAAGCTGTCACTTCCATGAAGAAGTGGGACGTTCCAGCCGCCCATCCATCCATCCATCCATCCATCCATCCATCCATCCATCCATCCACCGCCCATCCATCCATCCACCCGCCCATCCATCCATCCACCCGCCCATCCATCATCCAGCCAGCCAAGTTTTCTGCAGGTCAGCTGTATGCTGGACTCACTGCTAAGAACTGGGCTGCAGAGGTGGCCAAAGAAATTGCTGTCTGCAAGAGGCCACTCTCTGGCTGGGGAGACAGACCTTAACGAAATAAACATGCAAACAAGTGCACAGACTCAGACATCTATGGACACCCTCGAAGGAAAGAACAGCATCTATTAACAATCAGTAAATAAGACGGAGGCCAGGGAGGGAGGGAGGGAGGCGGGGGGGGGAGGCAGGGAGGGCCTCTCCTGGGAGGCGGAGGAGGTGACACCCATGAAGGGGCACCTACGAAAGGCAGGAGGCTGCAGTGGGGAGGGAGGGTGAAAAGGCTGGAATCTGAAGCCCAGAGCCGTGCATGGTGGGAGAGACTCTGTAGCCCAGAGGCCAGCAAGGACATGAATCAGCAGGCAACAGCCAGCAATCTGGAGTCCAGAAAATGGCCCCGGATTGGCCTGCAGAGAGCTAGGCTAAAATGCTCACCCACAGCCACTTTCTCCCTGCCTTCCCCGGGCTGGGGCAGGTAACTCGGAGTGATCTTACCATCTCCCACCCCTTTCCTTGAAGAGACACAGAATGCCCTGGAATCAGAAATGAGCCTCAGGGCCGGGGAGATGGCTCGGTTGGTAAAGTGCTTGCCTTGCAAGCTTGAAGACGTGAGTTCTCCAGAGCCCATATGTTAGAACGCTAGGCGTGATGGTGCGGGCTCGTAATCCCAGCCCTGGGAAGACAGAGACAGGAGGAAACCTGGAGCTCACTAGCCGTCCTGCCTAGCTGAATCAGCAAGCCCAGGTCAGCGAGAGAGCTGCCTCCAAAACCAAGGTAGACAGCTCCCGAAGAGCAGCACCTGAGTAAGCCCCTTGGACTCCACATGGACCCACACACACTTAAACATGTGTACACATACAAAGACATTTCTCCCCATAAAGGTGTATGGAGTCTAGGGAACAGCACTCAGTGTTGTCCTCTAATCTCCATACATGTACATGTGCATGCACACACACACACACACACACACACACGTGTATTTCACACACAAACCCACAATGAATTTTAGTCATCTCCACTGAGAAAGGTCCAAGATTCACGCACAGATACAGTGCTACCACAGGCTTTTAGAGTTAGTTTGGGAGGCTGGATTAGTTGGTGGTTGCTTTGGTGTTGTTAAGATTGGGGTTCAGGGTCAGAACTGTGCATTTGGATTTTGTTGAATATATCTGTATCCCCAGGACCCCACAGAATATCAGACATGCTATAGGTGTCGATGATTTTTGCCTGCTGCTTTGAGATAGGGTCTTACTATGCAGACTAGGTTGCCTTCAAGCTCTTGGATCCTCCTGCCTCATTCCAAGTGCTACGGTTACAGATGTCTGTACTGCCAACCCAGATTGCTGTGGTTGGTTGGTTGGTTTGGTTTGGTTGGTTTGGTTTTTCAAGACAGGGTTTCTCTGTGTGTAGCTCTGGCTGCCCTGGAAGACCAGGTTGGCCTCGAACTCACAAAGATCTTCCTGACTCTGCCTCCCGAGTGCTGGGATTAAAGCCGTTCGCAGCCACCATCTGGTGATAGTTCTTTTTTCTTTTTTGATTAATGAATTACTATCTCATTGTGTCCCCAACAAGACAAGATGGCCAGTAACCTCAATTCCCTGGGTTTTGTGACTATTTGTATTTTGTTTTCAGAATAAACAAGCTGGTAAAAACTTCCCCATGTACTCATTTTATAGTCTTCTAAGATGAATCTAAAATCAAGGGAGAAAACAAAAATTGGAGGCTGGGGAAATGGGGAGACAGCTTTGGTTGGCAAAGTGCTTGCTGTATAGACACAAGGACCTGGATTTGATCCACAGCACTTGTGACAAAGAAAAAAAAAAACAAGCACAGGGCCATACACCTATAATCTATAATTGCAGCACTAGAGAGGCAGAAACACACATACCCCAGACATATACACCACATACACACAGCACACACAAACACACCACCCCCGCATACACACTATACACACACATATTCACA